ATTTTAAAAATAATAAATAAGGTTGCGTTTAGAAATAAGGAATATATTTTTGGAAAAATAATTTTCAGAAACTAATTTATTTCTTAATATTTTCATATTTTTGGTATTTTTGGGGGGATGGGGAGGGTACCGACAAAACAATCAATTGTTACATTTGGCACCCTTCCAAAGCATCGTATTGGCTCTTTGATTGAAAGTATGGATGTAAATCGGGTCAGTCCGCTCATATTTGGATCAACTCCGTTGAAATGTTGAGTTTATCAATTCGAGCTTATTAATTTTTATTTTTTTGTCAGGTTCAAAGTTTTTTGTCATAACTTTAAAATCGCATGCTATCTAATGCCTATTAAGTGAATTATGCATCGGGTACATTATTTCTATCCATATATATATATATATATATATATATATATATATATATATATATATATATATATATTACATTATTTTTATGCTTAACGTTCATTATTTGAATATTTATAGAATAGTATAAAAACAGTTTGATAGTCCATTATTTAAATGTATAATGTTCACTATTTGTGTGTATATGGCTCATTATTTGAGTATGTAAGGTACAAACTAATTGTAGGTTCATTGATTATTTATAAATGCATATTCTATGTGCATTTATGTCGTACATGAAGTTCATTATTCGTAGAGCATAGCTGAACTTATTCGGTACACCACACTCCCAATAGAAACATGAAATTTAGTAAATATGTGTTCACTATTTGTATGCATAAAGTTTTTTTTTTTTTTTTTTTTTTGAAACATGATGGGGAGACCCAAAGAACTCATAAGCGACCAAACACCCCAGTTGTATCCCTGGGAACCCGTCTCGAAACATTTGCCCTTAGTTGAATTTGTATGCATACACTTAGTTCACTATTTGTATGAATGTGTTTTGATGCATGGTCCACAATAAAATGTGCCTATGCTATCGGGCTTATCTGGCGGACTCAACTAAAATTTGTAATATTTTAAATTTAGCATTTTAAACATTCAATTTTAACAAACTTTCACATTTTACATTAATAAATATAAATTTAAACACCATTTTTTTAAAAACAAAATTTAAACATCATTTATCATTTAATAAATATAAATCACAAATTTCAACAAATAATTAATATATTTACACTATAATATAATAAGAGTTAATTCCACCGGAAGTCTCTTGTCTTTGTGACAATTTCAAATTTAGTCACAGACTATCGTTTTTGCCATTTAACATCCGAGACTATTATTTTTTGGTCACTTTTAGTCCTTCTCGTGACTTTTCCTATTTTTAGTAATTGCACTTTTGTCATTTCATATTTTTCTTTTATTATTATTTTTTTGTTTTAACCGATTTAATTAGTTTAGAACTTTAAGTAACCTTTGATTTTTAGTAACCATATTTTTCATTCGGTTTTTAGTAAAGTCCTAAATCAATTAAACCGGTTGAAACCCGAAACTAACAAAAGAAAAATATGAAGAAAAAAAATGCCCTTACTAAAAATAGGAAAAGTCATGCGAAATACTAAAAATGTTCAAAAAATAATAGTCTGGGATGTTAAATGGAAAAAACGATAATCTGAGACTAAATTTGGAATTGCCACCAAAGACAAGAAACCTCTGGTGGAATTTATAATAAGTTTTTTTATTGTTTATTATTTATTTTCATAAAAAAATATTTTTATTTGTAATAAATTTATTAATATATTTCTTACAATTTTATTTTAAAATTTAATAAAAATTAAATTACAAAATACTAATGATAAGCTTACATATAAACTCCCTACATATTTTCTTCCACATCACTTGTGTGAAACAAAGACTAACTTTAAGTGTCCTGAGCTATCGGCTAACCCACTAAATTTTGGACTAATCTGTTTGGACCATTAGACTTATCAATTTTGGGGCTATTGGACCAAAAAAAAAAAAAAAAAAAAAAAAAAAAAAAAAAAAAAAACAAAACAAAAAAAAGTCCATAACCCTAAAAATAGTTTACCTTATCGGGCTAGCCATCGATTTCAGGTTAAGATTAAGTCAAAAATAGTCTTTTTTGTTTCCTTGAAAGTTTAATATTTTGTTTGGTTGAAAGTTTTAATTTTTATTTTTTATTTTTAAGAACATGAACATAAATCTATTAATAAGTCATTTATTATAAAATATTAATTATTATAATGTATATAATAAATATTATTTAATTAAAATAAAATTATAAATTAAAAGATATAAAAATTATAAAGATTTTATAATAATTACAATAAAAATATGTAAATAAATATTCTTTTACTCGTAACTTATTATAGTAAAAAAAAAATTGATATATATATATATATATATATATATATATATATATATATATATATATATATATATATATATATACTAATTATGAATTAAAGAATTTCAAAAAAAAAAAAAAAAAAAAAAAAGGTGATACGGTTGGTCCAGGCCAAAATTTTATTGTTTGGGTCATCAAAGTTTGACGTACTCATAGTTAATTTGACATTGATAAATCTAATAAATTTGAACTAAAGGAATGGAAGAATTCTATTTTTTTTTTTTTTAATTTCTTGATTGTGGGTTGGACCAAAATTTTAAATTAAATCAAAGGGATTGAAGAAAAAAAAATGTAATAAGTTTAAATCCGCCAGTATTCTTTTTTTTTTTCTTTTTCTTTTATCTCAACTCGACTAGACTCATATTTTAACTACAATAACTCATCAATACAATTCAAATAACAACCTACAAGCATACTTGGCTATTTGATACTACTTAGAGGGAGAGGGAAAGAGAGAGAGAGAGAGAGAGAGAGAGAGAATTCAACATGAGATTAAAATTCAAAAATGTCTTACGTGTAAAAATCTCAAAAAGATTTTTTTTTTTTTTTTTTTTTGTCAAAAATGGTCATATTCCTTTTTAACCATAATGAGTTTTTTTAAAAAAAAATTATTTTTGTTCATAACCAAACACTAAAAAAGTTTTAAAAATGACTTCCGAAAAATTCTTTTTATTAAACATAAAAAAAAAAACCCTAAATAAATAAAAGAAAAAGACAAACGAGATCGGCATACAAGAAAATGTTCATCGGATCGTTAAGCTTTATTCAGTTGGCTAGTCCGTGTTAATTTGAAGCAAGTTGTCCGCTTAATTGCTATATTTTGTTGGCATGTACTTTAATTTGGTGACAAGTGTGTTGCATAAATGATTAATTATGAATGGAGATAGGATATGATTACTTATTCGAGGGATATACGTCTGCCTATTTATGGTCTATTCATATCATCATAGTTTTCGATTAAATAACTTATGAATGAAGAAAATTTTGATGGTTAAGATTCATTCAATCACAAATCACAAAGGAAGTTAAAAGATGTTGGAAAATTAGTTAAAATTGTATGTATGTGCAATATTTTTTTTTTTAAACATGTGCAATAATCATTTTGATGCAAAGTTCTTAGTAAGTTCATTTTTAGGATTGGGTCAAAATAGATTCGGATTCTCCTAACTTAAAAGTTTAAATTGATATATTATATACTCAAAATGGATAACGAATGAATGAGAAATTGATTCTCAAAATATACTCATTTGATCTGAGAAAAATAGAATAATTCAAGGAGCGCAACCTTTGTCCCAGCGGTTGTTATACCATGTACCGTGGTCCAAAAATGACAGCAATTAAATTTTAACAAATCTCGTAATTTTTGTGTGTTCATAACAAAATAAAACTACAATGTATCTAAAATGAAACTGAATAACTTGTCTCGCATATTGTGTTTATATTATGAAATGAAATTGTAATTGAATTGAAATAATACTTTAGTTGTGTTGAAATGAAACTACAGCACGTATAAAATAAAACTGAATAACGTGTCACATATTGAGTGTACATTGTCAAATAGAACTGTAGTTGAATTGAAATAATACTTTAGTTTTGCAGAAATGAAACTACAGTATGTATAAAACGCAACTGAATACCATGTCTCACATATTGAGTGTATATTGTCAAATGAAATTGTAGTTAATTATATCGACATGATACTTTAGTTGTGTTATAATGAAACTACAGTGTATATATAAAATGAAACTGAATAACAGTTTCACATATTTGAGTATATATTGTCCAATGAAATCGTAGTTGAATTATAATTATAAATTAGTTGTGTTGTAATAAGACTACGGTGTATATAAAATGAAATTCAATAACATGTCTCACTGTAATAAGACTATTATTATACATATAATGTCGCATTCTTCAAATTTGAGGAAAACAAAATCCTTGGTTGGACATGGAATTTTGTTTTCCATGAACGATGGGAAGAAAAAATGACATGATTTGACTATTTTACCCTTATTTTCTTTCTTAATTATATTACTCTTATTAATTTGTATGGGCATATAGGTCTTTATATTCATTATTCTTTACAATTTCAAATCTAACCAAACAATAGAATTAGTATTCCAGTAATTTTTTCCCATCAACCAAAGAATGAAATTCATCCTCCTAGTAATTGCTTTTCCGGAATTTCAATTCCGTTTTCCATAAAATATTTTTCGCGAACCAAACGAGCCCTAAAAGAAACAACACTGTTTTGGACCATGGTACGCAGTAAAATTTGCCTTGTCCCACATTGAAAAAATGATATGGGTTTGTATTATATACAAGGTCAATCCTATCATTTTATAAGTCCGGTGCAAAATAAAAACAAGTACTCTTAAATATATGAAGTTAAAAGCTAGATTGTATGAGTTAATTGAAGTTATGTTGCTGCAACTAAATTTAATTGCATTCTATGAAATTGTACTTGGGGATGGTGATGTAGGCAAAATAGTATCCTCAACATGATGAGACTTTAATAAGACTGGTTTAAATAATATAGTTCGGAACGAGTTTGAATACTAAAATTTAACTCGGATTTGAATATGCAAAATGTGTCAAAATAAGTATCCAACATTTGTACTTAATACTAAAATCATGGTTAAATTAAAGTAATGTACTGTACAGGATTATGGCAAAAATGATTGTCAACAGGTTGAAACCTATGCTGGGGGACCTGATTTCAGAATCTCAGAGTGCCTTCATCCCAGGTAGGCTTATAACGGATAATATACTTGTGGCGGCAGAGGTGGGCCACTTTTTGAATCGTAAACAGTGTGGAATGGCTGGGTGGGGAGCGCTAAAACTGGATATGGCGAAAGCCTATGATAGAATGGAGTGGCCATTCTTAGAAAAGATGCTGGAAGTAATGGGTTTTGATGAAAGGTGGATTAAGCTGATAATGACATATGTTACCACTGTATCATACAGTGTGATGGTCAATGGCGTGAGTGGAGGCCAGGTGCAGCCAACAAGGGGTCTCAGACAGGGGGATCCACTTTCACCTTTCTTATTTATTATTTGTGCTGAAGGCTTATCCATGCTTTTGCAGAAAGAGCAGGCAGTAGGGTCTATTCATGGTTGTAGAGTGGCTAGGGGAGCCCCCCAATATCACACCTGTTTTTTGCGGATGATAGTTTGTTGTTCTTTAAAGCAAATGTCCAGGAAGCTACAGTGGTTAAGCAGTGTTTGGAAAGGTATGGGGAGTTATCTGGTCAGTTGGTCAACTATCATAAATCCAATATATGCTATAGTAAGAATACTGGGGAACAGATGAGAGAGGAAGTGGCAGAATGCCTGGGCGTGGAACGGGCAAGAAACTTTGGAAAATATCTGGGGCTACCCTCTTTTATAGGGAGAAATAAAAGGGCTATTTTCTCTTATATAGAAGATAAAATCAGACAAAGAGTTTTCTCGTGGAACAAGAAATTGTTATCACAGGCTGGTAAAGAGGTACTTTTGAAAAGTGTGGCTCAGTCTATGCCCACATTTTCAATGAGTGTTTTTTTGCTCCTTGAATCAGTTTGCGAGTCGATACAAAGGGCCATGAATAGATATTGGTGGGGGAAAGGGCCAGACAGAGGAATCCACTGGAAAGCATGGGATAAATTGTGTATCCCTAAGAAGTTTGGTGGATTGGGGTTTAAAGATCTGAGGAATTTTAATCTGGCAATGTTGGGTAAACAGGCATGGCGTTTCTTAACAAATCCAGGATCACTGGCAGCACGAATATATAAAGCAAGATATTTTCCTAAAACTTCTTTTGTTGATGCAGTGGTAGGAAATAATCCCAGTTTTTGTTGGCGAAGTATTATGGCTGCTCATGATTTTGTTATTGCCCATGTCCGCAGGAGAATTGGAAATGGCCAGGAAACTTTGATATGGGGTCATCCGTGGTTGCAGGATAATCCTAGTCCTATGGTACAAACAGTAATGCCTGAACCATTAAGGGATGCAGTTGTTGCAGGCTTGATAGATCAGCAGACGAAAACATGGGACCCCCATATTTTAACAGATTTATTTGAACCTGAGGATGTGGATCGTATTTTGAAAATACCTGTGAGCCCAGACTATAAAGACACATGGTATTGGCATAATGATGTGAATGGTTGCTACACAGTAAAGGATGCTTATAGGCGTCTAATGGGAGAATTTAATCACAGTTTGGGAGAATTTGATAGATGGATTACATTGTGGAAGTTGAAAGTCCCCCCCAAGTGGAAAACTTTTTTATGGAGAGCGGTGTGTGATATACTCCAACCACAACAAATTTGATCATGAAGAGGGTAGATGTGAACCCAACATGCATGTTGTGTGGTCTTACAAATGAGAATGTTATGCACTCATTAGTTTTATGTGATTATTCTAGAGCTGTGTGGAATATTTCGGGATTGCCTATTATGAATATTTTTTCAACGTCTTTCCCGAACTGGCTTATGACTGTTATGGATATGCTCACAGGCGAACAGGTCAGACGCGTTGTTGGGGTCCTCTATTTTTTATGGATGGCCAGAAACGAGGCGGTCTGGGAACATGCGGTACGGAGGCCGGAGGTGGTGTGGCACCGTGCAGCTGCGGGGGAGGCGAGCTACACGGCACTGCATTCTCGGCCAGTGATGGCACCGGCTGGTGGGGTGGTGACAGTGGCAGCCGGCCGGACGACGTGCCATGTCGATGCCGGATACGATCCGGGCACGGGAAATGCAACTTATGGGGCGGTTTTACTCGGTCCAAATGGTTTGTTCAAAGCAGCGGCGAACGGAAAACTCCCGGGGTGTTTAACTCCTATTATGGCAGAAGCGCTGGCATGCAAGGAAGCCTTGTCTTGGCTTAAAGACCGGGACGAGAACGAGGTGGATATTCTTACGGATTGTCTTGTTTTAAGGAATGCAGTTCATGCAGTAACTACACCGAACTTATCTTATGTTGGAATTGTGATTGAGCAGTGCAGGACAGCTATTAGTAGTTTTGTTTATTGTTCGATTAGTTTTATTTCGAGAACTTTAAATTTACATGCGCATACTCTTGCTAGATTAGCCCATGATCAGGATCATTCTATGTACTGGGATTTAATCCCTCCTGACTCTATCATTCAATTCTTGAATTAATATACTGGTACGCCATATTTCAAAAAAAAGTAATTTTTTAAAAAATAGTAGCATATAATACTTTTTTAAGGTCAGAATTCATATTATATTAAAAAGTGCAATCAATAATCTGAGTAATAATTTGGTATAATTAGTACGGAGTAAAAAATAATAGCATATAAAATCTTTTTTGTTATGTAAATCATCATACCTTGACTGTGCTAGAGCTTATTCATACTGATTTAGCATATTTCAAAAGCACTGAAAGTAGATGTGGAAAACGTTATTATATTTCGTTTATTGATGATTTTTTTCGTTTCAAGAAAATTTATCTTTCGAGAACAAAAGACCACCAAACAAAAAAAAAAAAATTATTTTCAAATCAGAAGTAGAAAATCAGTTAGATAAAAATGTTAAAAGGCTTCGCTCTGATAGAGAATGAGATTATGAAACAAAATTTCTCAAAAGTTTATGTGAATCTTCTGGTATTATTCATGAGGTAATTGCTCCTTAGTAATTGTTGTGCACTCTAATAAGTGCATTAGCTCTGTGCTCAACCGTTCCAACTATTCTTTGGCGCGCGCGTGTGTGTGTCTAGGATCAGATGTGAAGGACTTCCCATGTAAAAAATGTGCATAAATCTCAAGTCATTAATTTCGTCCAGATCTACTGTTTTTTACTTTACAAAAATTGTGCACTTGAAGGCACAGAAATGTGCACTCGAAGTCACAAAGATGTGCAATTGAAACAATTATGGTGTCAAAAAAGTGAGTTATTCAACTTAAGTGTTATTAAAGCAATTACATATACAACTCGTTTGTAAATCTCACAAGTTTCATTAGAAATTTAGCTAAACATTATTGTAAAAAAGGCAAAAGATATAATAAATACTGGTCCATAATTGTGGACTTGAAGGCACAGATATATGCACTCGAATAACAAACTTCTGCACTCGAAGGCATAAAGATGTGCAATTTTAAGTAATTATGGTACCAAAAATGGGGAGTTATCAAACATAAGTGTTATTGAAGCAATTACTCTTACTGATCGTTTGTAAATCTCACAAATTTTATTTAAAATTTAGTTATATATTATTGCAAAAAGAAATCAAAGAATATAATAAACATTGACTCATAATTTTGCACTTGAGGGCACAAAAATGTGCACTTGAAGGCACAGAAATATGCACTCAAAGGTCAAAATTGTGCACTCAAAACGAGAAACTATGTACTAAGACAAAACATATGCACTCGAAGAAGGAAAAATATGCAATGAAAAAAAAGTCAAAATGTGCACTCCAATACAAAGAACATCTAAACTTACCTACATAAAATATTAAAATTACAATAATGTCACCACGTGTTTTTTAATTCGTCATCATTCTGGACTATAATTTAGACAAGATCTATGACCGAGATTTAATCATTTTTTTTTTCCTAAAATCCTCCTTTCTATTGGAACGTTAATATATATATATATATATATATATATATATATATATATATATATATATATATATATATATATATATATATATATATTTATTTATTTATTTATTTATTTATTTATTTATTTTTTTTATTTTTTTTTTTTCTGGATATGCATGAGTCATTGTCAATAAAGACGGTAGATTGAATGGTGGTGCAAAATATAATATAAAAAATTTAGTTCCCAGAATGGCGTGGGTTATCAGTTATGGGGGTCCTTATTTACTTTGAATTACAAAGTGGGGCAGTTCACGTGGCTATTAAGACTTTCACTCATATTTGATGGTGAGGGAATACCATGCTTATATCATGAATCAAGATTAAGTAGCAAGATAGACTTTTGATACACTCGTTTTTAATATAATGCAATTTTATTTTTAGTGTATTATATATTCATTTTGACTTAATAAAAATAAACATGTATCAAAACATAATAAATATGTTAAAAATAAATTAATAGTACATCAAAAATGAATTTACAGCACACCAAAAATGAATTATAAACCTATATCATGATTTATTATAAACTTGTGCATCAAAAATGAATTTATTATTGACAGTTGAATTTTTTTTTTTAAAAAAAAAAATCTCTTAAATGAGAGATGTTGGTGGGGTAGGGTGCCCCAAAATAAAACCCGGTATACGAGCTTCAAATGTGTAATGCTTTTTCAGTTTTCCTAGTTCGGGAGAAACAAGAAAATACAAACATTTAGTGGGGTGTAAATTCTCGCCCACCACATTATGCATTTTTCTTCGTTTCCTTCTCCCCTATTTAATAAACACGTTTTCTATTGGAAAAAAGAGAATGGAAAACTGGAAAAGGTTAAACTGAACAATTGAGGTAAAACACCTATAGTATCAAGTATCACTAGATTTTTCTATTAGAACACAATAATGCTAGTCCCATGTGAATATATGCAATTACATGGACCAAGGTTTATAGTGAATTGTGAACTCTAATACAAAAATTTTGTATCTTCAGTTAACACATTTTGTACCAGAATCTGTGCATCTATAATTGCTGACACATAAGTACAGAAACTATTAATTACAAGTACAGAATGTGTCAACTATAAATATAGAATCTAACTTAATAATTATTAACACATAATATTATAATTATTAGTACCATCGACTACAAGTACAGAATGTATCAACTATATAAATATAAAATCTGAAAATTATTTTTGGACTAAGATTTACAATGTAAGGTAAACCCTGATCCATGATATAATTTGCCTAATACTGTAATACATGCTGGAAAGAAAAAAACAAAAACAAAAACAAAAACAAAAAAAAAAAACAAAAAAAAAAACAAAACATACCATTATGGCATTATCCACCGACGAGAACTTCACCTATGAGTGGTGCCATTCTGTCACAGATAATTCGGGGTGCGGGTAAAACCATTCACAAGAGCACACAGAAAGAAACTATGCAGAGTATAAAACAAAATAGAGTAATGTTTCAAACCAAAGAATTCATAGTAGACTAAATGTCCTCAAGCCCACGCAAACAAAGTCTATGCAGAATATGAAACCAACATTATCCGCAACACAAATTCAGAAGTTCATCAGAAAAGGAAATAATAGTATGTGTGTGTTTTTTTTTTAATCCCAAAATAACCACTACCAAGTACCAACCAGCCCACTCAAGAAACTAGACCATCATTCAATGACAATGAAGCAAGTTGATCAGCAGGGTTGTTTGACTGCTGCTGAGAAACATTCCTCAGGACATCCATGGCCTCTGCAACCTTGGATTTCAGAGCTTCAGGAGACTCAAGCAAATGGAGGACCTCTGTCTGATCCATTTCCAGAAGCATGCCAGTCACCTTGGCTGCTGTCTCGGGCTCCAGCTGCTCCACAAGTGGGTATAAATTTTCGCCCAACATCTGTAGTTGAAACCACATCAATAATACAACAGCAATAAATAATGAAAATTATGACCATAGTCCATAAGGCTAAATTCATTATTTGTGATCTCATTTGGTAAACAAGTTCCTCCACCATAAATTCATGTCAGAATAACCATTACCAGAAGCAGTGAAACTTGAACACATTGCAGTTAGGAAAACAAAATAATAGTAACTTGCTAGTTATCAATCCACTAAAACCAAAAGGAGAGCACATATAATACAACTAAATTTCTAATGATTTTTTATAGAATTGGTGAATAACAGAATCTTAGAAAACATACATATTATATAAAGCTCATTAGATACCACAACTTCAGTTTTATCACTTAACACCATTTATAATTCCTCTGAAGGTTTTCAGTAACTGTAGTGGCATGTAGGAAAATATCTGGTTCTAGCAAAAGGCATACCGTTCTTTGTTCAGTAGGAGAAGCATTAGCAAGTGCAGATGCTAAAGCCCCAATTGGCATTGGCTGAGCCATTCCTGGATCACGCACAGGCATAACACCCATATCATATGGGACAGAGAACATGCCCCCAGCTACACCAGGAATAGAAACATCAGGGAGACCACGTCCTGTAGGATAACGATACCCACGTCCCCTTGGAAGCATCTAATATTCAGGAAAAGAGAAAAATAAGTAAATATCAGAAACAACTTTAATCTTGAGAATAATATTGAGGTACTTTCCACAAACCTGCTGCTGCATCATTGGAACTGGTTGCTGCCCCTGCTGCAATGGACCAGACCCTCCACGTCTGCCACCAGGACGCTGACCTTGCTGACCTTGCTGAACAAGTGGCATAAAGAAATTTGGCATATGTGCCCCCCCAGGCCTCATACCTGGGACAAGCTGCTGTTGATACCCAAAACCAGGCTGGCACATAAAATCAAGATGGTGGAGTAATAATGTCAAAAGCAATGGCAGTATCAGAGCATATTGCTAATCAGGAGCAAAATATTTTGTCTAATTGGTAATAGGATCAGATACAATATAATTGTGGCACTAACAAACTATCAATAAAAAATTTCAGTTTAAGAGATATGATTTACTTGAGGAGGAAGCAGAGCAGGTGGAGGCTGTCCATAGAATATTTGTTGCCCTAAACCTGGACCACCAGGGGGATACATTGGCATACGAGTACCAACTTGAGGTGTTATTGCAATTGGCCGCATCTGAGCAAATTGAGCCTGCATAGCAATAGCAAAGTAGGTGCAGACAAAACTTTACTTTTATTACTTGATTGCGGATCATTCAAAAACACAACCGTATACGGTATACCCCATGAGTGATATAACACAAACTGACACAGACATGCATGTATTTAGGATAATATATTTTGTAGCAACAATGAACAGGGGAAATCAGTGCACAACTGATTCACATCTTTTGCACCAAACCAGTAATGTGCAAATGGAAACAAAATTCTGTGTTATGCACAATTGTATAAAATATGGGCAAAAAGAATAACCAAAGATACCTGTAACCTTGCTCTTCTCTCTTCTTTTCTTTGTGCAAGGGCAACATAGAGAGGTTTGCCATTGATCATCTTACTATTCATCTCAGCCAGCTGCAGAATCAATTCAATAAAATGATTAACATTTCAAGTTTTTC